CAATTCTTTATATGATTATTGGATCATTTTTTGAAGGGAGGATAGAGAAGATCTAATCAATAGGATATGAATTATCGCCGTTTGGAATATATATATATATATGAGCGTCGATTTTTATTTACTTATTAGATGGGATGCGATATTTCTAATTTTCGATCTTGCATATAGGATAATAATAATGATATCGGAATAGAAAATGAAAATCTTAAGAGAAATAAATGAATAGAATTTATTTATTATGGGAGAAAAAATGATGATTGAATTACGTTGAAAAAATATGATAACTTATAAATAATGATTAAAATAGGATGATGCGGATCATCTATTCTTCTGCGATGTGCGATAGAATAGGGGGGAATCCGATGAATCTTCAATCAATTATCAATAAATCTAGATTATTTATTAATAAATCTAGATAATAATTCTATAATATTTCTAGATTGATTATATGACGAAGGAATATATATATATATATTCAGGATTTATCATATTAATATTTATGATAAGAAGAGAATAATTTTTCTGTATCATGATTGGGATATATATCTCTCTCTCTCTTAAATATTATCCGATATAAAAAGATAATAGATAGGCAGAATGAAAATATTGAAAAATATAAATTCTAATTTTAGAAGGAATATAGAAGATTATTGGTATTTCGATTACGATAAAATTTGATGATATAGATATCTTTGATATAATATAGGATAATATTCAGAGCTAATACGACGTTTATAATATTATCATATAGAGATTATTTATAAGAATCATCATCTAGAAAAGACGATATATATATATATATGAATTTATAATTAATGATTTTCATCTTTTTAAAGGAAATTTAAAATTGAGATCTATTCTAATCTCTAAATATATCCGAACGCGTGGCAGAAGATATAATACGTCTTGCAGATAAATCAAATTATTCAAATATTAATAATCTAATATAAATAGAAACGAATAGATGGCAGCTCGGATATCTAATATTTCATCGTTCAAAAAAGAACGCAGAAAATGAATTCGTGATAGATATTTTAGTAATCCGATATCAAATGAGATGGTACGCAAGGAAAATCGTAATTTAGATTATTTCAGGGATCAATATTTAGGATAATAGAAAATGATATCTAGATGAGATTCATTCTTTTTTATTTTCTTATATATCGAATTTAAGATTAGATGATAAATTTATTTTATCTCATCTAACAATAATGAAAAATTCATATTATTCTAATATGAAAAATTGGGGATATAGGAAGATCGTATTTTTCATTTCTCGCGGAAAATATATTTTCAAAAATCTAAACGAATATGAAAATCGTTTTTTAGAATTGATAATATTCTTATCTCTTCATTTCGAATTCCTAAATTATAATTGATTATCGAAGATATTAGAAAAACTAGATATTCAAATCAAGATATTTTATTTCGTGAATAAGAGATTGGATTTGAATTGATTATATTCGTTTATTCTGCGGGAATGAATAGAGAAGATACGATTTTTTAAATTCATTAGATAAGATAGACGATTATCTTAATAGGGATCTAATAGCTATGAATTAGGATATAGTCGATATTCATTATATATAAGAATGATTCTCGATAATCTATCAATAATATATGTCAATCAAGATATAAATGAACGAATTCCAAAGAAAAAATATATTCTTAAATATGAAAAGAATGAATATAAAAAGAAAAAATCCGTTCTCTCTTTCAGATCTATTTTAATTATATCTTTCTTCTTCAGATCTCTTCCCGGATTCTATTTCTTGATTCTTATTAAATCAGGATGCTCGCAACGCAGGTAGGAGGCGATGGATGATGATGCAATAGAATTTGAAATATCTAATTGAATTGATTCTCTCGTCTCTTCTTGCGTCTACGGAATATTGGATTCCTAGATATTTGGCTGACGGAGGCGAATTTTAATACATGATCTGGGCAATTGTTCAAGCGGTCATGCGCGACGATATGAGAGATAATTTTCGAAGTTTTTTCTTGATAATCGATATTTTCTTAATAGGGGATAATCAATCACGAATTTTGAGGATTTCCGAAACGTCTATCGATATGGGAATATATTTTTTCTTGAATTCAGCTCAAGATTGTTTATAGAGAGTTCTCTCTATAATATTTTTTATAGAATTTCATTCTTCTATCTAGTGATTTATCATTTCATATTTATCTCTATCGATATCTCGTTATCTATATTCATTCAAAGTTTTCTATCTCTTTATCTATTCATGGAATTTTGTCTATAAATATATATCTTATTATTTTCAAATTTCTTTATTTATCATCTTTTTTCTATATTTGATTATTTCTATTTTTCCTTATATTTTATATGGATCTTTGCTATTGATTCGGCGATCTCTATCTAATTATTTCTATCTAAATATATTTATTTCCGAGAATCTCTTGTTTTTTATTTATCTTCATTTTTTTCGAATTTTATATCTCTCATATTATTCGATTTCTTTTCAGATATATTTTCTATATTCTTTTTTCATATATCTGATCTTATTAAAATCTATTTTATAGAAATGATAGAAAAGATGATTGGATAAATTTCGATCAAATTCTGATAATTTCCGAATAATATTAGAGATTTTAGATTTTATGATTTCTAAATAATCGTCTGTAGACCCAGATCTTGAATAGAATTCACGAAATTCGTGGAGGCGTATATATATCGTCATTGATCTTCCGTCGAGTTATTTATGAAGGAAATCAGGAATTTGGAGGTCGATCTATCAATATTTATTGATATCATATCATGATTTAGAAATATTGAACTAGATATTTTCTCGGAATCTCTATCTCTTGTTTCGATCTATTAGATGAAATCATAATTTATCTGATCTCTTATCATTTGATTTCTCAATCGATCGTCTTATATTCATATAGATATTGTAGCAATTGGATATGATCTTAGAAGATAATATAGATTTATCTTTTATTTTGGATTTAGCATAGATCATTCTGGATGATATTTAGATTCTTTTCTAATTGATGATTTGGAAATTATTGATTTGTTTAAAATTATTTAAGCAATTATTTCTTCAATATTATGAGGAAAATGATGATAAAATCATTGAATTCATCAATTATTTCTATGAATTCTTTTTTTCTTAATTGATTATTCAAAATCTATGAAATTGATATTCTCTATTTCTAGATTTATCTATCAATCTGAGAATTTGATTATTTTTCTATCGAATTTTCTGATATTTCATTCTATCTATCTAATATTCTTTGAATGAGAGAATATGATCTTTGAATATATGAAAGATCTCGAGAAGAGAAAAGATATTCTCTTGAAATATATATCGCGGCGGCGATCGATCGGATCGTTGAGAAGATAATTCATATAGGATTCCTATAGATATCTGAAATCTGATCTCCGCGAAATTATATCTGCATTAATTCAAAATTTGCGTCGGATCTATAAATATCAATTTTCAGATCTTCAAATAATCGAATAATTGATAAATTTTGGCATCGCATTTGAATTAGGAGAATATCTATTGAGATCTCGACCTAATAATAGTCGGCCTAATATATCTGGAATTATGCGGCTAGCAATCGGTAACCTCGTCGCCGGCAACCCTATATCTAGAATAAAATATCATTTTGACATTCTCATAGGAATTCCGATCTGTCTATCGATTAGGGAATTAAAAAGATTGATCGATCTATTTTCATCTATATTTCGAATTATGATTTTCTATGAAATTATATTTATTCAAGGCTTAATATTGTTGATGGACGAAATCCTGCATCAATTTTCTTCTGCCAGCCTTCCCTGCCAACCCTGAATCTTAATATTGATTAGCCCCAAAAGGATCAAAAAGGGCACGTGCGCGAATGACCGAAATCCTGCATGATCTTTATGTGTTAGCAACATTGAGATTGGAGGGGCAGGGGGAGATCAATCACTGACAATTGTATATTGTTGATTTAGCAGGTCATGCACGATTTTGTCCATCTACCGTCTCGGAGTACAGTTTTATGATATGAAGCACGTACAGGTCTGTTTGTAGCAAATAAATGCGAGCTTGGGGTGTGTGGGTATGTGTATGCGCTTGACATAAGCGCTGCGTTGAGACAGTAGTTAGTTGGCGCCAAAGAAACTAAGGGCGTGCTCTGTGTGCGTGCGTATGGGCGACTTGCGCATATAGGAAGATTGAGTTCTGAGACATATAGGCCTGTGTGTAGCAAGTTGCAAGCTTGTTGTGCGTGTGCTGGGCATGTGCGTGGGAAGCGTCGTTGAGGCAGCAGTTAGGTTTTGGGGCAATAAGCACCTAAACGCTTGCTGTGCGTGTGACTTCCGCATATAGGAAGGTTGAGCTCTGAGACGTACAGGCCTGTGTGTAGCAAGTTGCGAGCTTGGTAAGCGTGTGCGTGCTTGACACGGCCGCTGCGTTGAGACAGTAGTTCGTTGGGGCAGTAAGCAACTAAGGACTCTCTCTCTCTCTCTCTCTCTGCGTGGGACTTGCGCGTATGGGAAGATTGTGCTCTGAGACGTTCAGGCAAGTGTATACTAAGCTGCGAGCTTGTTGCGCGTGATGGAGTGCCGTGCAGACTGTAGCTATATGTGCGACTCATAACTGCCTGGCGGCTCAAGACGTGCAGGTCTGTGTCAGACGCTGCGAAGAAGATCATACACGAGTTTGATGTGTATGTGCGTGTGCGCAGGGGCCCAAACACTTCGTGGGCGAAGCGACCAAGGACTTGTTGCGTGCGTGTGCGTGCTCGCGGGACTTGTGAGCAGAAAGAAAGAGCGTCTTGTGTACGTGTTTGACTTGTGCAGTAGGCTTCCGAGTGGACGACTTGATGCTCTGTGTCTGTGTGCCGTGGGATTAGCAGCTGTGCCGTTTGCGCGTGTTGCATAGGATTTGCTACGTGGGTTGAGATCTTGCTTGGGCCCGTGCAGCAACGTCGACTCAAGCACCCTCCAGGCGACCTCTGTCCCTTTCATTTCATTGCAGCGCAATATGCCAGAAGCAGGATGGATAAAAATGTCTGAGGACGAGCGCAAGCTGGCCAAGAAATGGTACTCTCAAGTCGGCAACCTGCTAGGAAGGGACACATCCTCGGTGACACGTTTGCTCTATTTACAGAAACCCGTCAAAAAGCAAGGGCGCCCCTGCTCGCTGACCCCAGCCCAGGTTGATTTCCTGGAGAAGAAGCTGGACCAGATGATCGTCGCAGCGAACGGCCAGCGCACCGTAACGGTCCAGGACTTGAAGAAGGCAGCGAAATCCAAGGCGTCCTGCCGCAGCATACTCCGGGCTCTCCATGATCGCAACATTTATTTCCGTAAGTTGCGGGAGAAGCCTCTGCTGACTCCAGAGGACGTCAAGGCCCGCTTCCACGTTGCCAAGACGTACCGCTCCAAGAGCGCAGCCTGGGGGGTCGACCGTATTGATGCCTTCATCGACGGGAAGCACTTTCGGGAGGACTTGGGTAAGAACCCCCCTGTCAGAATTTATTCTGTTCTGGTAGGCCGACCCTCTAAAACCATAACCGATATAAAGCAATGATAAGGTTTCAGATCGGATAGGAAGATTGGCCAAAGGGTTTTCAGCCCAGGTCTACCTCAACAGCAAGGAGCGCCGTCGTGCCGCGCAGCATGCCACCTTTGGCGCGTACCGTCAGCCTGGAAAGGGGTTGTGCGGCGGTTACGTGAAGCCGAAGGCCGGCAGCTTGCGGCACAACACTGGCGCTAAGGGAGTTCTCTTGTATGCGGGCATTGGGAAAGGCAAGGCCCTCACCGTGCACGAGGTTCCCCATGGGCGTTGGAGCGGGCAAGCTGCTGCCAACTTCTACAAAATCTTGGCGCGCGACTTGGCCAAAGCTTTGCCAGACAAGCGGCGCTTCCCAATTCTGGAGGACAATGACCCTACTGGCTACAAGTCCGCCAAGGGCATCGCTGCCAAGGATGAGGCTGGCATCGGTGTCTTCGAGATCCCAAAACGGAGCCCAGACTTGTCTGTGCTGGACTATGCTATCTGGGCGGAGGTCAACAAGCGGCTACGAAGGCAGGAAAGCAAGTGGCCGAATGGCAAAAAGGAAACGCGTGCAATCTATGTCAGGCACCTCAAGCTCACCATTCGTTCGCTGCCAGAGGATTTCCTGCTCAAGAGCATCCGAGATATGGCCAGGCGCTGCCAGCGGCTCTACGAGGCCAAGGGCTACTTCTTCGAGGAAGGCGGCTCAGACTGATGAGGGTGCCTGGCCATCATCCTATAGCTAGCGCAGGAAAGTGCGATTACTCCATGTTACGTGCAGTTGTTATCTAGAGGGTGCCTTCCTATCACCGTCTCACCCGGGTGAGACCTTGGTTCTAGGGCACGGTACGACGCCACCGAACCAAGTTGCTAGTGCTTGACAGCACATATTGTTGCGCCTGGTGCAAAATGCAGTACAGCGTGTGGCAGGGCTTGCGTGGGCTTAGTGTTGTCTGGGGCGGCGGTAGAGCGCGAGGGCCGCAGCTTTGACGTGTGTGTGTGTGTGTGTGGATGTGGGCGTGTGATGTGGGCGTGTGTCCTTGACATGTGCTCTGCGTTGAGACAATAGTTAGTTGGGGCCAGAAGCAACTAAGGGCTTGCGCAAGGGCCGTTTTGTTCAGGAAGCCAGTTTCTTAGCCTGCGCAGAAGTCAGGAAGTATGCCGTTTTCGTCAAAAGTACCAACAGTCATAGGGATGGGGCTCTTCGGGGCCGCGATCCTTGGGACTGTTGTCACTGTTGGAGCACGATGAGGTCAAAAGTGCCAACAGTCACAGGGATGGAGCCTCTCAAGGTTACCATCCTCGTAACTGTCGTCGTTTTGGGGTATGAGAAAGCTGAATGTCTGGTAATTTTCAAGTTTCAAATTCGTTTCTCCAATTTCAAATTAGTTTCAAAATAATTTCAAAATCCAATTTCAAATTCGCCCTCATAGGGGGGAACGCATTTTTTACACGTACTTTTTGAAAAACTTTAGCACTTACAAAATATTGGGTTCTCATGAAAACGCACGTTGAAATTGCCTTTTCCCCTATGAGGGCGAATTTGAAACTGGATTTTGAAACTATTTTGAAACTAATTTGAAACTGGAGAAATGAATTTGAAACTTGAAAATTACCAGACATTCAGCTTTCTCATATCCAAAAACGACGACAGTTATGGGGATGCCACCCTTGGGGGGCTCCATCCCTGTGACTGTTGGCACTTTTGAGATGAGACGAGGTAGTGAGGGTCCAAAAGTGACGACAGTTACGAGGATCGCGACTTGGAGGGGTCCCATCCCTGTGACTGTTGGCGCTTTTGAGACGAGGCGGGGTAGTGAAGGTCGAAAGATGGCGACAGTTACGAGGATCGCGACCCAGGGCGAGGATACTTACCAGACTATAACCATGCATAACCCTTTAAGAGTGCTGCCTCTGAAATTCAGTCTAGCGTGCGCTGCGCAAGCTCCGCTTCGTCCCTGAGAGCCATTTTGCTCGGAGGTGCTTGGCCCGGGCGCCATGGCTGACTCCAGCTCAAGCTCGTCGTCCTCTGAGGGCGAAGCAGCTGAGCCACCGCCGCCAAGACCAGACTGGCTCACTGAGGAGGACGCCAACGCACGCAGCACGGTGTACCTGGTGACCTTCGCAGCTGTGCTAGACGCAACGGCTCTGGAGGCGGAGACGCCGCTGAAGAGCTTGGAAGGACTGACACGAGCTGACATCCGAGACGCAGTGCTGGATGCTGTGCAGCATCCTGCAGAGGACACCAACCGCAACGGCAGAGGCCGTCCTCGCGCACAAGCGCTGCAGGCTGTCAAGCTTGTGGTCTTCCTTGAGGAGCCTCGGCATTTCCATGTGGCGCTGAAGCTCAATGGCCTGAGCCGCTTCCTGCCGCTCAAGGCTGCCCTGCGTCAGCGTGGTGGTCTGGCCAGTCACTGGAGCAGCTCTCATACGCAGTGGTGGAGCATCGTGCGCTACGGTGTTTTCACCACGGAGCGCAAGCCGGAGGTTGACCTGGCTCCCTTGGTCTGGTTCAAGACGGCAGGCACACTGGAAGGTGTGCGATCTGGTCATGGGCCTTGCCATGAGTTTGCGGCTCCGGGCAGCCGCAACACCATCGTGAACCTCTATGAAGACGCGCAGGAGCCTTTCAACGCCAACGCTTGGGTGAAGCGGCGCCAGCAGGCTGAGGCTCTAGCTAACGCTCCTGTTCATGGTGGCAAGAAGAAGGCCAAGGTGGAGAAGTACACGCAATTGGACTTCACTGCCATGGTCCTTGACAAGAACCTCTTGACGAACGCTGTTCTTGCCTATGTCCAAGAGCATGGGTCTCATGCGTGCCAGCTGTACTGCATGAGGAACCAGAAGCGCCTTTCTGAGCTCCTCGATGGTGCAGTGCAGTGGCGAGATATAAAGCAGCTGCATGACTTGGAGCAGGAGACGGACTGGGGCCTTGTCCAGCGTCTGGCGACCTCGAGCTGCTCTTGCTGAGGACAATGCATGTGGTGGGCGGCTGCGTGTGACTTCTTCCGCAGAAACCACGCTACGGTGGATGGTGAGTTGCTAGCAGCAGCCTTGGCCAATGTAATCAGCAACGGCCCGAACAAGACTGCCCGGGTGCCTCTCATAGCAGGGGTCACCAATGCAGGCAAGAGCTTAGTGCTGGACCCCCTCATAAATATCTTTGGTCGTAAGGCCGTTGACTTTTGTCCTGCGCAGGGCGCCAGCATGGCACTCAGCTCATTGGCAACTAGCAAAGGCATGAGATTTATTGGGATGAGTTCAGCCCAACGGAGTATACATCCCGGCCACCGCGCTCGCCCACAGTTCCAGCCATCACCTTCAAGAAGCTGTTCGCTGGTCAAGTCTTTAGAGTTCAGGTGTCCCAAGCGCACCATGACGGAATTCCAGACTTCCGCTGGACCCGTGGTGCTGCGTTGACCGCCCCTCTTGATGGCCTGTGGGACGTCGTGGCACCTGTCACGCATGAAGACGTTAGGCACATGCAGTCCCGGGTCATCCAATTAGATGCTCATGTCTCCATTGTTGGAGCTTTACAACCAATTCCACACTGCGCTGAAAGCTGGTGCTGGTTCGTGATGCAGGGCTCTGCAACGTATGTGTCTAGAATGCCTAGGCAAGTCCCGGCCGAGCCAGTCCTCCCAATTGATGACGGGGATCTGTAGCTAGCAGCTGGCCGCGCGAGTGCTAATGTTGCATGTTCCTATAGGAATCGTATGCTAACATCTCCAGAGAAAAGAGGCCCGTCGTTGTCGCTTCCTGGGCTAGTGCAGCACACCGCAACAGTTTGACCCCGTATTGTTGATGGACGAAATCCTGCATCAGATTTCTTCTGCCAGCCTTCCCTGCCAACCCTGAATCTTAATATTGATTGGTCCCAAAAGGGTCAAAAAGGGCACGTGCGCGAATGACCGAAATCCTGCATGATCTTTATGTGTTAGCAACATTGAGATTGGAGGGCCAGGGGGAGATCAATCACTGACAATTGTATGTTGTTGATTTAGCAGGTCATGCACGATTTTGTCCATCCGCCGTAGGGAATTCTAATTAATGAAAGAAAATTCAAAATAGATTGGGATCTAAATATATTTCATTAAATTTATTTGAATGGAATCCGAATACTAAATGAAATGAAGATGAATAATATCATATCTCAAGAATTTGAAAAATTAATTAAATTCTAAATCTAAGTTTCATTAATTATCATATCTTTCAAGATTTCATAATTTAAATTGATTGATTATTTTTTATTTCCGGGAATTACGATATTCGTCTAATGAATAGGAGCGCAGAATCTTATGCAAAGAAAATGAAGAAAATACGATCTAAGACTAATAAGGATATGAGAAGGATATATGCGAATTCTCCGGGAAAATTACGTAAATATTATTTAAATATATATATTAAAGAATATTCTAATAAATTGAATATCTAGATTAATATCCGTATCGACACAGAAATAATGAATCAAATTATTGAATCTCTCTTTAACTATATATAAAATCTATCTTCTATTAATTTCCCCAATTTTTTTCAGAAAAAATCAGAATCTCTCAGGATATGAGAAAATAATATTCAAAAGAATTATAAATAAAGAAAGATCATATGAATGATTTAATAATCATCATTCTTATCATATCATCTCATTAAGATAAATCAAAAATATATAATCAATAGAAAAAATTGAACTCCAAAAAAAATATAATCGAATAAATTAATAGAGATAGAGAAAAGAATTTTATATATCAATTCTTATCTTATAATTTCTTTAATTGATAAAGAAATATATTTCTATATAGATATAAATAAATATATAAATGAAGATGATCAATTAGAGAGAAATAAAAGATATATATATTCAGGAATAGAAATCAATAATTAATTCATTTTGATAAAATATTAGGAGAGAAATAAATAAAGAAAATATTCAGAAAGAAAATTAGAGAACTAGAAATCAATCAATATCAAAATGACTAGAGAAATAGGACGATAAGATATCGATATAGAGATAGATAGAGATAAGATGAAGATAAAGATTAAATTAGATCAAGATATCTAGAGAGACGGACGAATAGAATCCGATATAAAAAAAGATAAATAGATTGATATACGATATCTATTGACCATTGATAGATTTTTATCATAAAAAATCTAGGTCAATACGATAAACGATGCGGATCTCGACGATTCCCAGAAATTCAAGAATATTTGGATCCGACGAATCCATAAATTTCCAAATATTTCCAGAATATCTTTTCCAAATCTTGCAAAAATTCGAATTAGCCAAGAGATCAAGAAATGAAAAAGATCATCTAGACGAAAATATCTCATAAAAAAAATATAAAAATATTTATCAATTCTCCATCCTCTTATCGAGAAATATATATCTCTTCTACGATTTTATTGAAAAATATAAATATATATAATTTCATATTCCCATAGAAGAGATCTAAATAATAGGGAAAATCAGAATTAACCCGCTACCTCCAATAATCGATTTTTTTTAAAATAATATCTATAACGGAAAATCCGATAAAGAAATATATTCCCCCATGCCGTCACCCAAATAATCAAAGAGAGATAATTCTTGCAGAGATAAGGACCACGAGAAATTATTTATGCCCCGTCTCTCAATGAGATTGCTAGATTTTCAGAATCTTTAATTTCCTCGCCCTCCGCGTGCAGAGCCTGGCTGCAATACCCAATCGTAGAATA